AAAAAGTTTCAAAAGGCATTGGCATGTTACGCCGAATTAAACCATTTGTTTCAATTGGAACTCTTACCTATCTCTATCAAGCTTTGGTTCAACCACATTTTGATTACTATTCAATGGTTTGGGGTACTGTGGCAAAACCTTAAAAGGGATGTTACAGAGACTCCAAAACCGAGCGGCAAGGGTTATTTCAGGCGACTCATATGAAGTACGCTCCCTTGACATTTTGAGTAAACTGAACTGGAAAACGTTAGAAGAAAGGCGAAATGAGCAGCAATTAAAATATGTATCTAAGGCTCTTGCATGCCAATGCCCTGAAAACATTTCGAACATTTCGAACATGTTTATAATGTCCAATTCTGAACGATACGACTTAAGAAGCAACAATAGCAAGCTTGTACTAGCGAAACCAAAAACTAATTCTTTGAAAAGAACATTCAGATATGCTGCTGCTAAAGTCTGGAACCAAAGTGTCAGTTAACTTAATAGTAACTGTATTTTGTACACTTTTTGGGAGGGCTTCACTGGTGGGAGGAGGGGTAGTCAGTTAAATAAATAGTAATTGTATCTTTTACACTTTTTGGGAGGGGTTCACTGGGGGAAGGAGGGGGCGTTGTAGTTTGTGTTCATCACGGCCTAATGAAAAGCAACCTTTCGAAATGTAAATATTTTAATACTGGTTGATTAGTCACCGTGTTTAAAGATGTTTTTAATAATAATAATAAAAACCAGTCGGCAAAAGTCGGCAAATTTATGTCTGTACGAATCGGCAAATCGGCATACATGTGAACTGGGAAAATGGAAAAAGATTAAAAACTATGAAAACATTTAAAGCATGACTGACATACATGTATCTGTACTAAAATGAAATAATCTCCCCTATCTCGCCTTACTCATTTTCTCGGCAAACGTGCAATCAACAGCGAAAACAGCAAGCTATTGTAATCTTATCTCTTATGTGAGTGAAATTTGAAACCCGTGTTTTCAAGCAACTACAAAGCATGCTGTCTGTTTCGACTGCTTTCATCAATAAACATGAGAAGCTCAAAACTGAAAAGAAAGAGAATAAAACTCGAGTGTCTGGAGTGTCATTCGGTTTTTGATGATGATTACCGCAAAAGACACGAACAGACTTGCCACCAAGGAAAGCGAGTGCGAGTAGCGCATAACGACGCACCAGCTAATCCATTCCAAGCAGCCGCTGCGAATGCGAATAAATCAAAGTCGATTCAATAACGATTACGCAGGTAGTTCTGCAACGATATCGATAACGCAGGTAGTTCTGCAACGATACACGATGTGTCAACTACTCGATGAGTGAGCAGAAAGTTTGGTCACCTTCGACTAGTGAGCAGGAAGTTCAGACACTTCAGGCAAACACAAATTGGCTATGAATTCATTATTTAATAAAACTTTTTCGTAGGTCATGCCCAATTCCATCCACAAAAAAGTGACATAACTGATGCACAGACGTCCCATACAAGCCAAGAGCCAAAGTCACCAATCTCGGTTAGCTCTACAGGAACACTAGATTTAGACCCCAATGAGAAAATTAACATTTTTTCCCAATCTGAAGTGGTATCATGTGACTGTTTTGGTGACCTTGTCGAAGAAGAACTCCGTACCACATCCTTAAATCAGGAAGATTTCAATTCTGAAAATGAAAATTCAAATTCCGACACTGAAGATTCAGTTACCGAAACTATTAAAGATTCAGTCTCCGTGTCTCAGAAATCAAATTGGATCGAATCTGTTGCAAGTCTATCTTGTATCAGCAGTTTAATGTATGGTTGTCAAGAAACGGTAAATGATGCAAGAACATCAGACATTCCTAAAATCCTAATGTTGAACAATGGATTGTAGATGCACACGACACTATCAAACAGGTACAAGAAAGCTGCGTTAGATTTCTGAAAAACACTGACAGCTTACTTCATCAAATCCAAACGAAGAAACCCAAAGTTAACGACGCAAGCTCTTGTCAGGTGTCTGTAGAGCATGATCCAGGCTTACGCGGTGAGGTCTGCGGAGAAAACCAAAAGAAGTACCTGATTGAACATGGGCCTTTTCAGCCGAAGTTGTCTTGTTTCCCAGCCAATCAAGATATATCTCAGGGGAAACAGAATCGTTTTTCGCCACGATGGTATAACGAGTACCCACACTTAGAATACAGTATCAAGAAAGATGCTGTGTTTTGTTTCGTATGCTCGCTATTCCACGACACGCCCTCAAAAGAGAAGGCAGACCCAAGCTGGATAAGTACGGGAGTAAGAAAATGGCACAATATGAAGAGTGTTGGAAAGAACAAACAAGGAAAACTGGCTCAACACTTCTCGTCGCAAAGTCACAAGGCTTCTCTAGCAGCATACTGTCACTATTTTTTAAAGACGACGAAACATGTGGACATCCAACTGGATAAAGCTAAAAGGGCCGCACAAATCCAGGAAGCCGAAGACCTTGAATACAACCGTAAAGTAATCCACATCCTTTTGGACATTGCAAGAACACTTGCCCGGCAAGCTCTTCCATTCAGGGGTGACAGTAATGAAGAAGGCAACTTGTACCAGTTGGTCCTATTGGTTAGTAGACATGTCCCAAGTCTTCGTCGACCGGTGGATAACTGACAAAAGGATGAATCCCTACCACGCCACCTATTTGAGTCCTCAGTCGCAGAACGAGTTCATCGCTTTGCTCGAAGCAGAACTGAGAGAAAAAGTTGTGGAAGAAGTAAAGAGTGCAGTGATGTTTTCTGTGATGGCAGACACAACTCCTGACGAAGAGCACACGGACAGACTTTCTGTTGTTCTTAGGTACGTTAACGACGCGGGAAAGCCAACCGAAAGGCTGCTTGATGTAAGAGAGACTGTTGATAAGACAGGTCTTGGTCAAGCGAAAGACATCCTATTTACGATAGAGCAGTGTGGGGTGGATTCCAACGACCTACGCTTTCAATCATACGACTTTGCAGCCGCCATGTCTGGTGAGTTCAATGGTGCTCAGCAGAAACTGTCCGAAATTGTTGGTCGTGATATCCCATACATACCATGCCAAGCACATCGCTGTAACACTGTGATCGAGCATAGTTGCAACGCGAGTGTCATCGTCCGTGAAATGTTTGACATACTCCAAGCACTTTTTGTTTTCTTCACATCGAGTACAAAACATTTTCAACCATTGAAAGAGGAAATAACCAAGGTTGAAAACTGTTTAATGCTTAGAAACTTGTCCAAAACGCGATGGAGTGCCAGAGCCGAGAGTATCCAAGCCGTCTGGACATCACTTGATGTAATCGTGGATGTACTACAGCAGATCACCAAATAATAAAGCAGATCAACAAACCCAAACGCAAGCAATGGGCTTAAGGAAAAGAATGCTTTCGCTTGATCTTGTTATTGCGCTAATGTTCATGAAGAACATTGCATATAAAACAAAACGTTTGGTGGTTCAGCTCCAAACAGTTGAACTCAACATTCTGGATGATGGAGAAAATACGAGCTGATGACAAAATGATGGACGATCAGATTGAATCATCCCTAATCTTCGCCAGAAGTCTTGGCATTGATCCAGAAAACGACTTCAACCGACATCACCGTCCACGAAGAGCACCTAGACGTCTAGATGAACAAGCCGAAACGGTAGCTGTGGTTTCTCTGCGAGAGTTCTACAGAATGCATTTTAGAGAGGTCTTAGATGTCCTTACTTCACGAGTGGGTGAACATCTAACCCAATGCAAGAAGAGCATTTTGCCACTGTTGAAGTGCCTTAAACCATCAATCGATGGAACGTGCATTCATTCTGCTGTCTCGCTATTCCCACCATCACAGACGCCTAATCCATTGGCGCTTGAAGCCGAACTACAAGTGTTAGCCGAATTATTGCCAACCGATGTTGGTGATGATTACAGCAAGGTAGTTGAACTCAGCAAAGCCAACAAGTCGACACTTCCGCTGGCAAACGTGGCAGTCCGGTTGATGCTTACAGCTCCTGTAACGGTGGCGTCAAATGAACACTCATTTAGCAACTTGAAATTTGTTAAGAACAAACTGCGAACATCCATGGGGGACTCAAGGCTGGCTGGCCTCATGCTCTCAACCTGTGAGAAAGATTTGACTGATACTTTGGATATTGAAGCAGTAGCAAGAAAGTGGAGTCTGTTAAAAAAGAGACGAGTCGTCTTATACTGAACAAATATCTTTAATTTACTCGGCATATTGCGTATTGGACATCCCCTCGCAACGGCCCTGTTAGCCTTAGCTGATGTGGTGGTATTATATACTAAATACCATAAACACGATCTATCAGTATAAGAATTACCTAACCAATTCAATTATTTTCAATCAATGTCAATGAATAATTTTGTGTATACTGCATCGCGTTAAGATACTGCAGTACAATTAATGAAATAATTGTACTCCTCTCAACCAATCAGCACCCAGTAATTTTGTCATGCTAATAATAAGTACTATTATAATAACAGTTGTAAATAACTGTGAACAGTCGCAGTTAAAAATATTGCAGTTGTCTATTCTTACGTGAAACGATGATGCTTGAGCGATGTACATTTGAAGGTTTCAACTAGCTCAGCCGGTCAGCATGAATAATTATGGTTAATTATGTTACAACCCATCAAATACTTTGAACAAACCAAACATAATAGTTTCATGTGAGAATAGGCAATGTTTTTATCTGCGCTGTTCATTGTTAGTTGTCAACGACGAAAGAAGGCCATGCACAACCGAGTACCTGATAGGTAGTGCTTTCAAATATCATCATGGCTGCTGTTCCTGCGATCACCGCCAAGGGCTCTGTACCAAGGACAGCCATAAGTATACATGATATTGACGTACCAAGCAACATTTCTGATGCACCAATATAATTCTTGGTGTACTTAGCAATCACCTGACCGTATGTTAAACACATTGCTATCAAACTTATTGCCAAATAAAAGATAGTAGCTAGACACTGTATATGGAAGCCATCCTTGATATCGCTCCAATACATGGGATAACGGTTGACCATTTCACGTCGTAAACCTCCAAACCAGCGACCATCAGGGTGCAATGGATGTACTTCAGTGCTTTCGATTTCTTCATCTTCACTACTGCTAGAACTGTCATCACTTTCTTGCTTCTTCTCTCGTTTCGAACAGTGTCTGTGTTTTATCCTCTGTCCTGTTGTTAGATAAACATACATGTTAATTCACAAGTACAATAGTCAATGATAATATGGTCTGGAAACTCGGTCAAAGTCTTTGTTTATTGGTTAAAAATGTTTATGCAAACTTGCGCACAGTGAACGAATTCACCTTAGTGGAAAACGGGGGTAAGACAGACAGATTAGGCTGACTAGCGAATACATACGAACCAAGAAGACAAACAAAGAGACTGAGAAACCTTAAAATATCCACCAGTACAGATATTCACTTACGTATTTCACAAAATTTATTCTTCAATGGGCAGTCTCCTCTTCTGGGAAATAAAATTGCGCTGGGTACTTCATGTTCTTTTTCAATATTGTCTTCACTTTTCTTTTCCGTTAATGATGCTTTGCTGTTAATCATAGTTTTCATCATGGCGATAACGCGAACCTTGGTCCGGATAATTGTCCAAAGTTGTTTTCCATCTCGGTGTTTAAACTTTCTCAATGCATGTTTCTTGCGAGCAATTCCTGAAATGGCTCCAGCAATTGGAGTCAACAGCTCAGGTTTCCAATCTCCTGGGGGAAGCATAACACTTCCATCAATGAACGAGAAGAAAGCTTTGGTTATATCCTGGCAGCTTTTGGCTTGGTATATACAACGTCTGAATCCCTAAAAATAAGCAATGTTACGATTCTTAGTTTTTGCAAGACACAGTTGAATTCCTCTCAATCCGCAGCTTTCTGGTGTCATACCGTACAGTACCATCGGAACTCAACTCATTAACAATTCGTATAGGTAATCATGCGATGGCGAGTACAATTAGAGATTAATAGTACTGAGTGATGTTTGGAAATTTTTCCAAATATTCTCTCGCCAAAGCCCAGTCCTGTCAGACTTTCAACCAAAATTTGGTGATTTTGTTTGTATTTTCATTTAATTCTTTTGTTTAAGCAAAATTTGGTGCTTTTGTTCGTATTTTCATCTAGTTCCTCGACGGCAATTTCATTTCACGCTTGTGTTTAAAATACCTTTCCGCCATTTTGTTTATTTTGGGAAAATCAATAATTGTACTCCTCTCAACCAATCAGCATCCAGTAATTTTGTCATGCTAATAATAAATAAGTAAATTAGCCAACCATATTGCTTTGTTTTGCTCACATGATAATACTGGATATCTGATGAAGTATATTGGTCCAGCCCTAGGATTGGATCAAAATGAATTCACCTCACTTTAAGTAGTGATTTATTCGTACGAGATGTCATTTCAAATCCTCAAATTAAATCCAATCCAAATTAATTCAGTCCTTGGGCTGGATCGAAATTAGTTCACCTCACTTTAAGTAGTGATTTATTCGTACGAGATGTCATTTCAAATCCTCAAATTAAATCCAATCCAAATTAATTCAGTCCTTGGGCTGGATCGAAATTAGTTCACCTCACTTTAAGTAGTGATTTATTCGTACGAGATGTCATTTCAAATCCTCAAATTAAATCCAATCCAAATTAATTCAGTCCTTGGGCTGGATCGAAATTAGTTCACCTCACTTTAAGTAGTGATTTATTCGTACGAGATGTCATTTCAAATCCTCAAATTAAATCCAATCCAAATTAATTCAGTCCTTGGGCTGGATCGAAATTAGTTCACCTCACTTTAAGTAGTGATTTATTCGTACGAGATGTCATTTCAAATCCTCAAATTAAATCCAATCCAAATTAATTCAGTCCTTGGGCTGGATCGAAATTAGTTCACCTCACTTTAAGTAGTGATTTATTCGTACGAGATGTCATTTCAAATCCTCAAATTAAATCCAATCCAAATTAATTCAGTCCTTGGGCTGGATCGAAATTAGTTCACCTCACTTTAAGTAGTGATTTATTCGTACGAGATGTCATTTCAAATCCTCAAATTAAATCCAATCCAAATTAATTCAGTCCTTGGGCTGGATCGAAATTAGTTCACCTCACTTTAAGTAGTGATTTATTCGTACGAGATGTCATTTCAAATCCGACTATGAGGACTGGACTAGATAAGTCCTCATATTTTGATCCAGTCCTCGGCTTCGCCTCGGGTTTTATCAAATTGCGCGGAATCGAAATCTAGTCCAGTCCTCACAGTCGGATTTGAAATATTACATAAGATAATTTTATATTGTGAAAAAGTCGAGACTTAGAGAGAAGAAACAAAATTCAATGTAGTTGTTTCTCAGGTTGCTTTTATTGTGATTGCTGCCAAAGGAATGGAAAAATCAACATTTGTCGTGAAAACAAGATTGCAGAAGGAATCTTACCTCAGAAGGAATCTTACCTTGTCATGAAATAATGTGCCCATAGTACGACACATTTGATAACCATCCGTACGAATGGCGTGTTTCGATGTAAACAACAGGTAGATAAACTTGACAGGTAAGTTAATTTCTAAAGAGTCCACTATCGGTTTCTCATCCGGATAACGCATGAGTGCTGACACACACTCATCTCTCTTCAAGAAGTCGACTGGAGCATGAAGTATCAAGATCCCTTTAGTGTTCGGATGAAGAATTTTCTTCAATTTCACTTGTTCACTTGTCATAGGTAAGCCACGTTCTTTAATAGCTTCATAGTCCATGTTGATAAGATAAGAAACGTCAGAAAAATCTGAGGCGACACTCAGACCGTCAGCATGTGTTTGGGTCTTGAGAAAGTGAGTACTACTGCTTCCACGTAATGCACCATTTTCATCAAATAAATATTTCTCAGGACACCATTCTCGCCCAACTTCATCTATCTATAATCAGAAAAATAATACGAGGTGAGCTGGAAAAGAAAAGATTATTATTATTACGTTTTATAAGATTGTTATATTATTATCGCTGTTAGGTAAAAGAAAAGATAAGAAGATCTTGTATATCATACACAACTGATAGACTGGAAATGGATTTACTTTTTTCTATAATGTGGGTCTACTTTATTCGGAGTGGAGGAGACGTTGCAAGCAGATATAGGCTAAAGAGAACAACATGAACGTTACAGTCATCCTCTAAAAAACCTAGATCTTAATCTAAACCTTAATCTCTTTTCTTAATCTTGATTTGATGAGTACAATTTGAAGGAAGTAACGACAGAAAAATTATTAGGGATGATTCTAGTCAGTCACAACTTGTTCTGTCCGTAATGACGATTTATGATTCAATCAACAAATATCAGTTCTCAGAAATGTCCGTCGTTATAATATTTGCCGACTAAGTATAGGTTATTTATTACTGTACAGGGTGTATCAAAAAAAGTAAGACAATTTTGAAATTGCTCTCAATTCCACAATTCTGTTCATGAAATGTAATATTTGCTATATATGGATTGCTTGAGTTCTTAAATTATGGAAAATATAAAAAAATTTGAAAATAGTAAATTTTGCAATCCAGGGGGGTGGTCAACTTTTGCTCCCCTAAAAGTGGCTTGCGCACGGAAATGACAAACGGTATTCATTATTTGAGTTCATGTGTGAAAAGTTCGCTATTTGTTGCATTTATGATGAAATTTCGGCAGGATTTTACCGAGTACAAATCCTCCGAAAAGCCTATGAAAACGTTACATTTTTCTTTGTTGGTGTTGTTCTTGCTTCATTATGAATTCATTTTTACTCCCATGAGAGTTCCATGGAATTTCCATGGAATTTGTGCTTTCGAGTTGTTTGTGCTGAAACACATTCTCTCGTATAATACCCCGTACACTTTGAAATGGCGATGCCACAATTT